GACAAACACGATACCTGGGCGTGACGATGGACCAGCGTCTCACGTGGAAACCGCACATCGTGGAGACGGTGGCGCGAGCGAAGACCACCAGGGCTAGGCTCTATCCCTTACTCAAAGGTGGAAACACCCTCAGTTTAAGGAATAAGCGAACGCTTATCAAGGTGGTACTTCAACCGCAGCTAACCTACGCCTCCACGGCGTGGGGTCACGCGGCAAAAAGCCACTTAAAGTCATTACAGGCTGTGGAAAACATAGCCCTCCGCACGGCCACCGACGCGCCCTGGTACGTAAGAAACACTGACATATTACGAGACTTACAATACACAAACGCTACACAGACAATAAGACAAAACGCGGAGAAACGATTTGACGTAGCCGCTAGACATGACAATCCCCTCCTCAGGCAAGCCGTTGACTACGTACCCGACGTGACCGACAAACACAAAAGACCTAGACACCAACTTTTTGACCCTGGGTGACCACCCCAATGACCCCCCCCCCTGCCCGCTAACCTTTTCTGTTTCAGAGACAGCCAGGATCAAGAAACGAAGACAACGACACACACACACACACACATACACACGCGCACACACACACACACGCGCACACATACACGCACACACACATGCGCGTACACACACACACACACGCGAGCACACACACACACCTCCGTGCTAGCTTAAGGGCCACCTCAGCAAAGCGCATCCCTGGCGGGACTACCGTACCCAACCATACCACACATAAACATGACACCACCCCCGGGGGTTTACACAGACGAGCCGGCGAAACAAGAAGAGCGCCAGAAGAAAGGGCCCTAGCCGGCGGGGCCAGCCAGGACAAAAGGAGGTCCCACAAAGCGCCTACACCGGCCGCATTTGCGGTCGGGGTAGACGACGGATGGGGTCCACCTCCGAAGGCTGTCCAGGCCTACACGAGATGAGGCAGGATAAAGAGGGATAATCCCCCTCGATCCCAAATCATTGAGGCCAATTTCTAGCCATAGAATAATGGCGTTACGCTTTCTGAACACTAACTTGGGCTCGTATAACTACTTCAAGCCCCATGTTGCGTCGCTATGTCAACGCGTATGGTTTTGTTACACTAACTCTGGCTCGGAATGAGTAGTATGAGCTTTCGCTAGTGCTGTGACCTTATCATAAACGCCGATACAGTTAGAGCGGGTCGTGAGGTTCGTAGGTGTTGGGGTCTATCTCCACTGAGATAGATTCGAAAAAATGAAAGTAATGCCCGAGCAATATCAAACTTTAGAAAAATTGAGGAAAGTGCGAGATGATTCAAAAAGAAATTTAAATAAAAAAAAAAATTTTTAAAGTTTATGTCACGGGCCAGTAAATTTTGAAGTGAATCTACAAACTTTAATTCCCTAACCGGATTCCTCTTAAATCTAGGTCAGGTATGTATCTAAGAGTTGACTGTGGATCCTTTCTGATCTTCGAGGTGAGTTGGAAAAATAATTTATGCAAAAATATTTTCCCTGAAAATAAAGGACTAAGTAGCCTTTTAAATTTAAAATTTTTAATATAAAAAAAAATTCAATTATCAAAAAGTTTTTTGAAAAAAAACTAAGTTTGACTAATTTATTTATTTTTTTTATTTATTTATTTGATACACCATTCAACAGAACATATCCAATTACTGAATGGGTGGGAACACAATATGTAATATAAAAAAAAAAGAAAAATGACAGTAACCATTGGTAAAACAATTCGAAGACAAAAAAAAAACTATAAATAAATTTAAAAGTAATAAAACTTAATAAACTATTACTTAAATAAAATAACACTAGTATAAAACAGTCATATGCTTTAGTAAAATACAATAGATATTATACATATACACAACATAAAATGAATAACAAAACAAACAAAAGCCAATTAAAATAGGTTTGTTATTGACTTTATTTTACAAGAAAAAATGTTAATATTATGTTGGAGGCTGTTGCAATTTTCACACATGACATAAATTGGTGATGACAATAATAAATTAGTATTAGGCATTGCGAGGTACATCATATTCGAGTAGCGTAGATTGGCGCGAGGCACGTGGAAGTTAAAACGATCCAAAATTTGAGGACAATCATACACATAATTAATGATTTTATACAAAAAAACAACAGAGTGCATATCTCGACGTGTCTCTAAGGACTTACAGTTAAACATGTCCAAAAGAATATTGTGGGAAAATCCAATGTTGGGATATATTCCTTGAGTTCGGAAGTACATATATTTTAAGAATTTTCTTTGAATGTTTTCTAAGTTATTTTTATAGACTGCATACTGAGGATACCAAACTATTGAAGCATATTCCAAGCGAGATCTTACAAAACAATTATACAAATTTACTATTGTAGAAGGATCAGCAAAATCTCTACAATTTCTGATCACAAACCCAAGGCTTCTATAAGACGATGAAGAGATATTGCGTATGTGTTCATGAAAAGTTAATTTTTTATCAAAAGTTACTCTCAAATCTTTTATATAATTGGGACGAGTAAAAGAGTGATTGTTAATCCTATAATCATAGATCACAGGACAAGTCATTCTAGAGAAGGACATTATGTTACATTTACTTATGTTAAGGGGAAGACAGTTTTCTGTACACCATGTATTCACGGATGTTAAAGCATTTTGTAAGTTTTGACAATCATTTAAACTATCAATCTTAACAAATATCTTCATAGCATCAGCATAAAGTAAGAAATTAACATCTAAATATTTACTAATATCGTTCAAAAAAATATTGAACATTAGGGGTCCTAAAATGGAACCTTGGGGAACTCCAGACAATACATTTATGAGTTCAGATTTAAATCCCCTATATTGTACATACTGTATCCTCCGAATCAAGTACGACTTAAACAAATTCAACAGTCTTGTAGAGATACCACATACGTCTAACCTTTCCAACAGAATACTATGATCTAACCTGTCGAATGCTTTAGAGAAATCTGTATATATAACGTCGACTTGACCGTGATTATCCAAAGTTCTAGAGATATAATCTGTAATACACACAAGGTTTATTGTAGTCGATCTACCTCTCATAAAACCGTGCTGATTAATGTCTATAAGTTGTTTAACGTGCTCATATAAATGATTGTGTAAAATGATTTCTAATACTTTGCTAAAATTACATATAATTGTAATAGCACGATAGTTGGACATATCATTTTTATCGCCATTTTTAAAAACAGGGCGTATTCTCGATATTTTCCAAACATCACTAATCATCACATCACCACTAATAAAAAAGTGTATTCAGAAAATATATTTCTGAGGTTATGTGCGAAAAGTAAATTTTGAGTTCAAAAAAAAATTTATTTTGAAAAATTATCCAAAAATCTTTTTTCGAAAATTTATTTTCGACTTTAAAAAAAAATATTTTTTTATTATTATTATTAAAACTTGTGAAGGCTTTCTTCAGAAAAAACAAGTTTAAGAAAAGGTACAAAATATATTACACTACAAATAATATTTTTCTTGAAGAGAAAAATGACACTGAGATTAACACTGTTAAAAACCTATTAATCTAACAAAAATAAGTAATAGTGATTCACTGGAATAATCTCTGCAACGAAAATCCAGGAAACAACAAATTCAAACTACCAGACCGTAGAAAAAAGAGTACTAGGTATATGAAAATGAACGTTACTAAACTTATTCAACTTATTACAAAAAAATCGCGGAGCTTTACTAACCACATTTTTAGGTAATCCTCTGTATATTCCTTTTGGCTTTTCCGAAAAAACTGCACTACTAACTTTGTCGGTTTGAGTTCCGATCCAACTCTTTAATTACTGAAGGTAATTAGACAATTTTACGAGCACTTAGGTTCTGGCGGACTTTGTATGTCGAAGGCAGGTAAGAACTCGGAGCAATCACAACAATATCACTTTCGTAGATTTAATTCACTTTATTTCCCCGTACTTACGGATGAAGACTAACTTGAAATTTGTTTGAGAAGAACTTGGTTGTAAACTTAGTATTGAACTGTTGAAATTCGGCGATAAACTGATTTTATCCCTGAAAAACCATCCTTTTTATCTAGAAATTTTAGGTCCTTAAGGGTGAATTTCCCTAAACTATTGCGTATTTAGCAATCGTGACATCATGCTTTGCAATATTTCATCAGATTTCATCATCTTTCTAGAACTTTCTAGAAGATTTCATCAAAAACAGCAAAACTAAACTGAGGGTTTCGATGCTCGATTCTGATTGGTCCACGACTTTGCGAGGAATTAAATACTGAATTCTGATTAGCTGAAGGCTTCATATAAATATATAATATGGTATAAAACGCAAATTTCGATTTTGTTTCGTTCATTTGCATAGTAGCCCTTCGGTCTACAGCACTATACGCATGCTCGAGAGCTCAATTCGTATCAGGGTAGCGTTGCATACAGAGCTCCCCAGAGAGGCTTTGGCTAAGTTCTGGTGTACTAATTAAATTAAAGAATTCGTTTTATTAAGGTCTGGGACCTAGGTAATAATAATAATAGCTAGTTGGTTTCCTTGGATAAGGAAACATGGAAAAGATAATAAATAATAATTTTTCTTTGGATAAGAAAAAGGGAAAAGAAATAATAAAGGAAAAAGAAAGTTCCTTGTTGGAAAGCAAGAGGGAAAAGAAAATAAAGGCAAAAAGATATAAAGGGAGTAAAACAAACATAAAACTCTAAGGGAAAAGAACAACCCTAAACATAGTTGAAAAGAGGTCATAGGCCCAAGTTTGAAGTTAGCTGTAAATAGCTTCACCCCCAAGTTATCCTAGGATAACTTATAAGAATTCGTGGACTTGGTCTATTATATTAAAAAGAATTTCGCATCGGTTTTCGCGTCTGACTATGGACCCAATATACATCGCATCGTACGGCGTCGGTGACCAGCACGCACGAGAGGGAGCCTCAATCAACTTTGGAGCTAGCGGGACACGTCCGATCGCGCCGGGGGTGGAACGTGCCACCCCAATTTACGGTTCAGGGGAGCGGCGGCGTTACATGGCATCCGGCAACGTGGGGCTCGAGTGTTGAACGGCTGCGACAACACTATTGACGAAGGATTCGTCAGATCTGCGACTCGCGTGCTACAGTCTACCGCGAGTGACGACGCAATGTGGGACTATACGGTTGACGAAACTCCGGTGAGGGTTCTGGGTAATCCCGAGGTAGAAACACAGTGACGCCCAGAAAACAATACGAAGACATTAGAAACAACGCGAACCATGGACACGAGTTTGATCCTTGTAGAAGCTGTGCGTAGCCTAACCCAAGAAGTTGCGGCATTAAAAATTATAACGATTCCGCCGGTTCGCGAAGTCGAGTTAGATTGTGAATTTTCGGGAAAAGACATTGAACAGCCAGCGGTTTTTATCCAGCGCGTCGAAAGTTATATGCGCGATAATCGGATACCAGTGAATAAATTTGCGCCTGTCGTGCGGCGCGCTCTAGAGGGCGAAGCCCTAACATGGTTTAGACGCATAGAACGATCGGATCTTCCGTGGGAGTTTTTTAAAGCGGAATTTCTCGGAAGCGGAAGTATGATTCGCTCGCCACGCGGGCGAGTTTAAGAAAGCAGCTGTATGGGCGACCGCAGTTCCCGGATGAATCGGCATATGGCTTTGCGATGGAAAAGTGGGCATTATTCCGGCGCTTAGCACCCGAAACACCTACGCACGAGTGTACGTCATTAATCGTAGAGCTTCTGAAACCGGCAGCGCGAGCTATTCTGCGAGGTCGGGTCTTCTCAAGCCTGGAGGCCTTGCTAGAAATCGTGGGCCAAATCGAGGGCGATTTACGAGAGGGTCAGCCGCGAACAGCGCCACCGGCACCACCGCCTAGAAAAGGACGAAGGCCACAGCCGGGAACAAGAAATTGTTATAATTGCGGGGCGACCACTTCGTCCGCGATTGTCCACAGCAGAGGCAGGGAAATGGTCAACGAGTGGGTCAGGGCGTGTGAGGTGTGCGCGGCGGTCAAGATAGGGCGGCCAAGGAATAAGGCACCGTTGAGACCACGGGCGCCCCAGGCACCATGGCGGATGGTGAGCCTGGACGTCCTGGGCCCATTTGATGGAGTTGATAGGAACCATCGGTTTTTGTTGATGTTGACGGATATGTTCTCGCGGTGGGTGGACGCAAAGCCAACCGGTCGGACCACAACACAGGATCAAATCGAGTTCTTGCAGGAAATTTTTATGCGGTTCGGGTACCCGGCTATTATTATCACAGATAGCGCTCGCACATATACTGGAGAACCGTGGAAGGAGTATTTAGCGGCTCAACGCATCGAACATGTACAGTCGGCCATTTATAGACAACAAGAAAACCCGGTAGAGGCGGGTTCAGGAGTTAAAGAAAACTCTACGTGCGCTCGTTTACGGAAATCCCACGGAATGGCCTAAAAAGTTATCGCAGGCTCTTTTCGCGTCAAGAAATCGATAAAACGCCGCGACGGGAGCGTCACCAGCTCAAATTCTGTTCGGTATGGACTTAAAGCGCCCAGAAGCATGGACGGCTCCTGCACCGGTCATTGAACAGCCCCAACCGCGAGACGAGAAAATTATGCGGGCGTTGAGAAGGCAAGAAGTCTATCAACGAAAATTATTTCCTGAACCAAGGGAAGCGGATAGACATTACGAACGGGGTGATCGCGTAATGACACGATGACCCCGATAGCGACACCAGTTCATCGAGCGACGACGAAGGTGGAGGGCCTCGACAGATTACGGTGGAGGCAGTAGTACATCAAGAAGACCCCGAAACGGCGCGACGCGATCCCGGACCGAAACCTGCGGATCAGGTACTTGGTACGTCTAGTTTAGTAAACGGCGTGGGTTCGAGCCGAGACGCCGATTTTGGTCACGAAACTCAACTTGGAAGTTCTACGTCTCGCGATTCGGTTACGACGTGCCCCCAAACCATCACCGACGCGACGCCACGACGAAGGAAGAATGAACAACCGCGCCGAAGCCACGTACGAATGAGAGCGTTTTCGCCACCACGATCGACGCCGCCCTCAGGAGCTGGGCTCCGTGAAGCCGTGGCCGATCGGTGTGCGGAAGCTAGCAGCGATAATAGTCAGACGCGCGACGACGTTCCGATTGCGAAATCTACAGCGATTCTTTCCCAACTGATGTCAGAACCTGGAGGTTCCCCGAGTAGCAGGAGCTACTTTCCCAAACCCCCGAAGATAGACGAGCCTATGGTTGTTGTGAGCGAGACGACGTTCACCCAGGTACCCACACCGATCCCTATGGAGATGCCGTCCACCCCAACCCGTAGCCCGGAGGCTACATATGAGGGACGCCGTCCACGTAGCAGGTGCCACAGTCCTCCTCCAGCCGGCATGAGGGAGCCAGCTAATGACCTGGAGGAAATTAGTATCGTTCCCAAGCCCGAGCAGCCAAATTCCCTTCCCAATAGTAACCTGGAGGTTGCTTTCGACGACAATGCCGCAGATAGCAGCCGCTATCTGGTGCGGCAGCATGGCCGTGATGAGTCCCCCAGGCCACCCGAGAAGCCAAAGGAACTGTCAGATGACGTTAACTCCAGCACCCTGACACAACGTTTCCCGGAGGAGCCAGTGCCCGCCAGAAGACGTTCGCCTGGCACCCTGGCACTCGATCAGCGTGGTAAGGACGGGAATGCCGAACGAAGTCCACTGGCACCCCGGCATAGCGTCCCAGCGGAGAACGACGTCGACATCGATGTACCATGGGGATGGTACTATAAATCGCGACCGAGGCCAAGGTCGTCTCCCCAGGTGCCCCAAGACCAAGTGCGGTGGCCGCTACAATGGTAGCGAGCCTGAAGAGAATTGATTTTTATTTGTTTCGTTTTGTACCATTTGTGTTTATTTTTGTATAGAGTTCTGGAGATTTATTTTGTGACTTGTATATATTGTTTAATCGTTTTGTATTGTTCTAGTTTTGTTGACATAGGTCAAGTTGTACCAATAAATGGAGGTACAACAGAGAAACCCAAGCCAAAGCCTTTTTCGACGGGGGAGATGTCGCATAAGGTCGAGTTTTCGGTGCGGTGGGCGGAGCCTAGCTCTACCGCACCGAAACATATAAAAGCGAGCTATACGCAGGCTCGAGAGCTAGTAGTTCCAAGCGAGCAGCCGAACTGTGCGGACGTAGTTTGTGCAGTGCAGCAGTGAGTGTCAGTGCGAGGAACAGTGCAGTGGAAGCCCCACAAAACCTGTCTTTTACAAGACAAGTAATATTCTGCCTTTATTAAGGCAATCTATAGAAAGAATTCGGCAATTTTATATTGCAAAATTTCTACTAACGACCGACGTTATCTCAGCCTAGGCAGAGAGACCGCCAGCATTTATTTTTCAGACTCGGGTGCCGGGGAGGAGGGCACTATGTCGAGATCTCCGACCCCCATGGAGAGCGACCGCTCGAGTGGCAGCAGGCCTAGCACCCCCGGGTCGGTCGTGGAGACAACTAGCCGTGAGAGTGAGCTGGCAGCAGACGTATGGATATGATGATTCAGTGTACAATACAGTATTTTTATGTTTCTTTTCTATCAATATTACTCATTAAACAGAATTTTCCATAATTGTGGACACCATATTGGAACCGCCATGATATTTTTTTGAAATCACCAGACGGCTTTTGATAGTATATTAAATATGAAGTGTTTTTTTTAGAAAAAAAAATGATGAAAACAATAGAAATATTTAAGTACGTAACAACGCAATGCGACAACGTAACGACCCTTGCAATACTCCTAATTTTTTTCAGGCGGTTTGTAGTCACTTCATTTACTTGTGTTGTGTACTTACTTTTAAATNAATGCGACAACGTAACGACCCTTGCAATACTCCTAATTTTTTTCAGGCGGTTTGTAGTCACTTCATTTACTTGTGTTGTGTACTTACTTTTAAATAAGATGGCAAACAATACATGAAAATTTATTTGTAAATTGAAACAACCAAAAAATTACCAATTAATAATATACCTAGACAAAGCGAAAAGTGAATAAAAAATGAAACGATTTTAAAAATATTTTATTCAAAATGGGCGCCTATAGACTGTAGACAAGCACGACATCTTCTAATTATGGAGGTAGTGGCTAATCGACACTGAATTCTATTCGCTGTTTTAGATCTTCTAGGGATCTAGGGTACCAACTGGCACCTCGTAGACTTTTTGTTTAACAGCACCCCAAACGAAATAATCCATCGGTGTCAAGTCCGGTGAACGTGCGGGCCTCGCTGCAGGTCCTCCACTACCAACCCATCTCCTGGGATAATTAATGTTATAACCATCAGACAACCATCTAGTTGAAACCAACTGTTCATTCGAGTATTAAGCGGAATATCTTCTAACAGATCTTG